ATCAGATGTTTAGCGCAGATGCTTCCTTCCATATAGTGTCTCGAGAGCAAATCAGCGTCGGAAGTCCTGGTCATTTCCTGCTGGTCACCTTGTTATCTATAAGCGGCGCTGGAATGCCAACGAATGGGAACAGCGGAGCACCTCTGGTTATCAGAATGATTCTTCTGCAGGTCACAGAGTCGCCATGGACGGTGATTAATGGGGCTGCTAAAGTACAAATATTATTACTTAATGTACTGAAGCGCAGTATGGAAATGGCTTACGATAAGCTATGAGTTTCGTTTTGTAGAATGGCAATCATTGTACGCCATCTTTGGATAATTAATATGCCATGCATGTTAGCAACTCACATGCAGTTCTTACATGTAGTACTGTACTTAATTAGGTCTGATCGTTAACCACTGAAGCAGCTGGAAAATTTGGAACGCAATGCTAAGAACGCACTCCTAACACTAACTAAATAAAGAAGCTCATACAAACTGAGTAGACCATAACACGAAACGCATGTGAGATAATGTTTCTAGAAACATACAGTACAGAATCATAGCGTAGATATCGTGGATTCAAAGCTCAGCAGGTCGCTCGCACTTCGTCCCCATTAAGCAGGTAAATTAGTTATGCTGTGTGAAAAAGAGGCACCAAGCAACAAGCTGTGGTAAGTGCATGGCACTGCTTGCTGATAATATTAATAAGTATCACAAACTTTATGGAAGAAGAGAGTTACCAACTGACTTAATCCCATAGACTTGAAGAAGACTGACACATACCAAAGCTCTCAAGCTTATATTTATTTCCCCAAGATGACAGTAAGACTCAGGAAAATGCTGTGACGTTGTCAAACACGTTATGAAAGATGGTGAAAAGAGTAGTACGTTCTTATAAAGTAGCAAGACACCGGTTCTTGACTCAAAGCATAGGATGAGGATTTTATTAAGTTAATCAGCGATTAATAGAAAATCGCTATAATGTCCAAAGAACTGAAATCTGGTTGAAGACACAGTTAGAAGCAGTGCCCTAGTTATGAATGTACCTTTTAATTCCTGACAAGCAGTATGAAAGAAGAACATAAATCTTCGTTCATGCCAGCAGCGTTTCGACCGAATGGGCATCGCTCATCATGAAGATAGATTACTGCCTAGTACAAACCATACTGTTCACTAACTATCACAGATGTCGATTCGGTCGAACGGTTGATGCAACAAAATAAAGTTATTTTGTTCTGATATGTTTATTTCACACATCATTTAATCAGCAGAAATAATCTTTTTTAGTTATTCATGGTACTACAACGCTTGTATGAGTTCCAGAGGTTGTGTAATGCATGTGTCATTTTCTTTGTGAATAGAGCAGCACAATAAAAAATGAACTCTGCTTCCTGAATATTATCAATGATATGTATAGTCTTTCATCTGACTTGTCCTCGTTGTGATTGCGATACGAAGGCAACCGGATTTTTTTACTCTCTTGTTGGAGAAGCAGCTTGCAATGGAGTTAAGAAGGGTTGACGAAGCTCCCTATATCATTTGAACCCGTTATTTGTAAAAAAACGAAACGTTCAGTTAGAAAACAAGGCAAAATAACCTGGAGGACCTCCAACGGAGTTTATCGCGGAAGAAAGCAAGATGAAACGCTTCGACACGCCGCCTACTCCTGGAGCAGGGCACAGTGACTCATGCACAAGATCGATAGAACATTCAGAGCATGCTTTATCGCTAAGACGGAGAAATGGATAAGAAATAACAGTTATTGAGTTATCTGAATGGCTGAAAATTGGGAATCAGGATATTAGCATAATAATGTTTGCATCTGAAGTCGTAATTCTCATGGCCAGATACTAATACTGGTTATTTGTCATTTTTTCTTATGTTCATAAATGACGGTCACGTTGCCACTACTGAAACTATGACAGTGTTCAAGGACATGGAAGACACAGCCGAAACGCATGGCGCTGGAGCGGCTGACCTTAGTGAACCTGTAAGTGACACGGTGCAACTGTCGCCATCAGGTTCGGCTGATTTGGGAGTGCTGTCTCAAAACTGGTGATGTCGTGATGACGATGTGGCGGGGTTCACGAAAGTCACGTCGAAACTGAGCGATTCGTCCTTAAGCAAATCAAATCAGGTTTACTGCCATAGTCGAGGGCGTCTGCGTGCATTTTAACGACAACTTGACAGAGGTTCTGCCAACGTAGAGCAGAGACCAAACCACAAGCACGTCCAGTACGAAGGCGTGCCGTTCGAGGGCCATGAAAATTAGCTGACATGGCGACTTTTACGGACTTACGATCCAAATGATCGATGATTAATTTTTGATAATCATGGATTGCAGATAGGCCTGTGGTGTCTCAAAATCCTGAAGACTTTGCCATGAGATATCCCATTGCAGTGCCTTAATGACCAGGACACAAACACAACGATATGATCTATCTGACATATGCTTACTGGATAAAGAAAATCCAAAGTAGTGGTAGTCGATTCTATGCCATGTGGGATGCCAAGTAGGATCGTGATTTCATGATGTGCTCTACCGTTCTTCTTTGAAGACGACAAACGGCTACTGGTGAAATTGGTCGCCCATCGATCACGAATGTGAATGGTTATTCAGACAGCAACTATATAAAATGTCTCTGTTGCGTCGTTGAAGAACTGATAGGATATGTGCTGGAAAAGAGAAACATCAGTACCGTCTTCGTATCAGACGAAAAATTAAGATCTCACTCAACAAATACTAGGGACAAAATTAGTAGAAACGAAAGAAGTAATGTAATTTATTCCAGAGGCAATCTTAAACCGGTGAAACAGCCAGGTACTTACCAACAAGGATGACAGAAGACGAGAGCAACTTTCATCATCAACTCAACGGCCGAAGGAAACCAAAGCTCGGAAAAAGGCTCGGCTGCTGCCTTAAATAAATTTCAACTGGACATGGCATCAATTTTAACGCCTCAACCATTGTAACGACGGTTGTCAACTATAAAGAACCCTTTGTTACTGAAGCATTGCGCTCCATTAAAGTGAAACGTATGTTAACTTCTAGCAAAGAAACAAGCAGCTATAATTAGGTCTTGACAAGCGTACATATAAGTATCGCAGTATAT